TCAGGAAAAGCTCACCCATTTGGGCTAGGTTTTCCCAGGGAGGGCATGACGGCTGGAGTGTGGCTCCATGTGTGCAAACTCACATTTTGGCCAAGCTGGCCACAGCTCGACAGAGGCTTCAGTTACACCACCACCTGCTATTTTTTTTTCTGCAGAACATGCCTCCCTTCAGCACACAAGGTGGACAGTTTTCAAACAAGGAGTAGCTATTCAGCACTTTCTTTCTTCCTCTTTGGCCTTAAGTTTCCTTTTAGAGCACACTGGCAAGGAATTTTTTAATTATGCAGTAAAGAAACCGCAGGTTCCAACCAACCATCTATAAATTAAATAAAGTTACTTTTCACACCTTTAGAATTAATTCAGTTGAGGGAAAAAAGATAAGATTTAATGAGCACCATTGTAAACATCATTTTTGGGGAAGGTATAGCACATTTGTTTTGATGAGCCACACATAATTCTCCAAAATAATGAACCATTGTACTTAATAACTGCAATGTAATTAAATACTGATTAAAGTTCCTCTTCCAGCATTTGTAAATCCGTCTGCAGTGTAATTGGCATCCCAAATCTTGTGGTGAGCCACAAAAACTATTAAGGATAGCTAAGAGAGGAAATTGTAGTTTTGACTTATATTGGTAATCTGCTTTTACTGGCTTACATTTCACACAGGGCTGTATTAGAGCAGGATTCCTTGGATCTCTGGGATCCAGGCCCTGCAGTCTGGGGAAAGATGGGGAAATAAGCAGGGCAGAAACCAATTGCTACCATCTGGGTTGGCAAAGCCTTTGTTTGAGAATGATGATCAAAATGCCAGAATAAGAGAAGATTCACTTCCAAAGGAGCAGCTAGGAAGACGCAAGATTAGGAGGTAAAGACTTTAGTGTGTGTTATGATGTAGGAATTGTCTTTTAGGGAGAGATTTAAGAGATTTAGACTCAATTCTGAGCCTCAGCTCCTATTTTATGTGGTCTTGGCCTAATCACCTGGTCTGCCTTTATCTCAGTTTCCATCTGTAAAATCACTGTAATCCATCTCATCTGCACTTCCAGACTGAGAGGTTCTCCAGCCAGCCAAGCTGGACTCCTGTCTCCAGACATGCACAGGCACACCTAAGTCTGCTCTGCTCGTGCACTGAGCTGGCTGGCTGCAAGCAAGGCCTGTCCTGAAGCCACAAAGCGACATTCAAACAGTATTATATTTGAATTATTACATCTCACAGAGTCCAGCCAGGGAGCTCATCTCTGCCACATCTGCAGGACCCCCCAGTGTTGGAGGATCCACCGACCTTTTTATTCCTTTGTACAACATCCCAGATTTCTGCTGGTTCTCTGTGCTATTATGGAATACTGTGGCTAGTAAAAGTTAAATTAGTAAGAGTTACATAGCACTGAAAGCAGGCAGAGAGGTCAGACACTGCTGAATTTAGTCACAGCTCTCTGTAGGATTTGGCTAAACCATCACCTTATTCTGCTGCAGCCTCCATGTAAATAACACTGGGGTGACAGTTCCTCACTTGCCAGTGGTGTGGCAGACCTCAGTTAGAATTATACAGCACAACTCCAAAACTTTGCAATCAGCTACTGAATATTTTCCAGATATCATTGATTAAATTTCCAGAGTGCTCTCACGTCAACATGAATTATATTCTTTTAAGTCCTAGTGTTTAATGAATCATTTAATGCTGTTCTAGATCTAATATCTTAACCACCTTGCCCATGTCTGACACCTGTGTGCTTTTACATGTTTGGTGTTAGCAGTAAAGCTGGAATAAGAGGGGTTTTTCTCCTTTGAAGGAGTGGGAAAATAGAGAAGCCATATGGTACAAGAAACCTAATGAAGTTTTGTGCTTTCCAGAGCACAAACAAAACAGCTCCATCAATTTGATCTCCGTCATCAAAACTGACATGCAGTTGGTTTTAAAACACTGCCTCCTTCTCGAAAACCAACAAGGGATTGATTTTCTCTCAACCAAAAGTATTTTCACCAAGACGAACATGAGCATCTGGTCATTGCATTAAATGTCTGGGTCCTTTGAAAGAGTAAGTCAGTGATACCTTGTGTTTACTTGCAGAGCTTGACAGGAAAGACACAAGGGGAACATTTGTTTTCAGGGGAAACTGCTGCAGTGAAAAGCAATCGGTTTGAAACGCTACATGAACACAACTGCACCACTGAAGAGAGGGGACGTAAGCAATCCATCAAAAATGGTCTGAGCAACAAGAATGCACAGGGGCACACTGTGAGATGAGGAAAGAAGGCACAAAATAGTAAAAGAAGTACTGGGTTTAGCCAGTATTTACAACAAGGATGCGTGGAAATGAATGATACTTCAGCCCCTATGTCTGACACAGATTTAAGGATAAAGTCACCCTTTTCTTGGTACTCGGGGATCAATATTTGTTTGCACAGGGCTCAATCTCACACCCACAGAGGCCAGAGGGAGCTTGCCATTTCCTTCCATAGATGCCTGATGAGGCTCTAAATAACTAGGGTTTCTGCCCAGGGCTTTTCAGTGCCAACTATAATGAATACTATTGTTCTTAACACAATTATATTTGATAATCCAATTTCCCTGAGCAACCGAATTGGAATTTTTGTCCCAATCTTTCCTGAATTCTAGTGCAACGTTTACCCTGTGCCTCCTGACTTTTTGTTTTCATTTGCTTCTGTTGTGTTACCAAGAAATAGGCAGAGTCTTCTTTGATTTACAGATACCTTGATGCCTCTGCTCTGGAATAATGGGATATGGCTTGAGTTTTAAAGAAGATAAAGGATGACACAAGAGATCAACGACTTTGGCAACTTCCACATACTGTAAAAGCACAAGCTGGACTAAGCAGTTACTTATAGCATTAATTTCTCCACAACCAAGAGTCTGTATAGACATGACTCTGTAAGACTATTTCCACTTCACCGTTTGTTCACTGTAGCACAGAGAAGTGGGCGAATGTGGCTAAGAAAGAGGTGAACAAGGAAAACCAAATCCTCAAACTATGTAAACTATAAGACAACTTTTGCAGCTCTATCCCACTGATGCTACAGGAGTCACCAAAGGGTTTCCCTCACAGAAGCATCTCTTTCCAGAAAAGCTATTTACATTCTGGTCCCTTTCTTATACGGGCTGTGCAGCAAAGTGCATTCTCCAAAAATCACCCTGCTATCAGGTGATAATCCTCCATCAAGCAGCACCAAGTGTCTGCTACATGCCCTGAGCCCACAGCAGTTTCCTTTCCTGCTGCAAACAATAAAAAGGAGAAATAAAACAAAACCAGGCCAAGAGCCAACCAGTAGGCAGCTGGAAACTGCCCTAAACTCTGTCCTCACTCCCACCATCTCAGAGAAACAGAACTTTGTAGACCAGATGCTTGGGATGCTGATCAGGCAAAAGGTGAGCAAGATATCTGATCTCATCCCCAGCTTTGTAACCCTCCCCGTGGCTCCCCCAGCATCCTCTAAAACACTGCTTTTCACCCAGCTCTTTTCCTTCTCCCAGCCAAGCACCAGTGAGCACACTTCTGTGGCAGCCCCTGCAGAGGAATCTCTGATTACCCAGAGAAATGTCTTTGGGAGTCTTTGGAGTAGCCCCAAAATCTCATTGCTGGGCCAAGCAAGCCTTTTGAAAATGTCAAAAGCATTGCCAATGAACCCATGGTCACTGAGACAGCATCTGAAGCTTTCTTAATCCTGCCTCCACCAAGATTTCTCAGGAGCCAAGCATCCCTGGGTTACATGCCAGCTCAGAGCTTTGTTTCAACCCAGATATTATTATTCCTGAAGACACCATGCTTTACAGCAGCTCAGCACATGGATCTCCCCGCTGTGCGTTTTCATACGGGTGCTCCAACATTTGTTTTGAGAGCTATCCTGTTCCAACAGCAAACATAAAGATCAGTGTGACCTCTCCTTATCACACAGCCTTTCCTGTGTGGAATTCATTGTGATCTGGACCCCGGTGGCTATTGCATCATTTCTGTTTATGTGTAACCTTTGGCACTCTGCAATCTTATCAGCCCGCAGCCGGCTGCAGCAGAAGATGCGCAGCAGCACCGCCAGCCCTGGCCATCCTCAAACACTGGAGGGGCCAGCTAAGAGGGGAGGCCAGTGAATGATTAGCAGAGCTGCTGGAGAGTCAGGGGGTGAGACAGCCAGGATGGACAGAGACGAGAGATCTCTCAAGCCAGGTCGTGGAACTTGGGGTTTATTGCAAAGGGCCTGGGTGCAGGGCCCTGCTGGGATTTGGGGTTCATTGCAAAGGGCCTGGGTGCAGGGGTCTGCTGGGATTTGGGGTTCATTGCACAGGGCCTGGGTGCAGGGCCCTGCTGGGAGCTGCCAGGCACAGCTCAGAGCAGGCCCCAGAGAACAGAGGGGTAGAAAGGATGAGAGGGTAAGAGAATAAGAGGGTAAGAGAGAAGAGGGTAAGAGCGTAAGGGAGTAAAAAATGGTAAGAGAGTAAAAAGGGTAAGAGAGTAAAAGGGGTAAGAGAGCAAAAGCATAAGAGAGCGAGGTTCCTGTTACCATACAATAAATCCTCTGCGCTGAATATTCTAATTCTCACTAACCAATCTAGTACAGGATACAAATCCCATAGCATTTACATACAGCCTGGAAGAACCATTACATTACCACACTGTGTTACATTTTAAACCCTAAAAACTAGTCTTTGAACCCCTTCTGCCAAGCTGCAGGGTCTGCTCTGACCCTTGGACCTGTCTGCAAGCACAGGGTGTTCTTTCATCAAAAGGGTATCACCTTCAGTCCAGCCACACCATTGTTTTCCCGTTGTTTAGTAACTAAGGTATCTCAAAGCTTGCTTTCATTTCAATCTCGCTTATAGCTTCTATATTCTCAAAATCTTTTGCCAGGCAATCACATTTATAAGGCTTTCCTGTTTCATCTTCCCCACCACAGAGCAAATCTGCAATCTCTGGCAGCTGCATGGAAATCAGCTCTGTCTGTGGCCCCAGAGCAGGCGAGGCCTGGCGGTGCCCGGCCGCACTCACCGATGACGATGAGGGTGTAGTTGACGTTGGCGCTGCCGAAGCCGTTGGTGGCCTTGCAGATGTAGGTCCCCGCGTCCTCGCTCTCCACCTCCTTGATCTTCAGGCCTTGCTGGAGGATGCGGAACCTCGTCCAGCCGCTGTGGATGGTCCGCCCGTCCTTCATCCACATGGTGAGGGGTGGCGGGTCGCCCTCCACCGGGCACAGCAGCTTGATGGTCCTGCCCAGCCTCACGGACTGGCGGTGAATCACTTTGTCAGCGATCCTGGGGGGGCCTAGCGAAGAGCAGAGACAGCAACAGCTGTTATGGCTTTTGCCAGTGACACAGCACTGATTCAAAGCTGTGTCATCAATCCGGCCACTACACTGACTGCTACACAGAATAGAAGGTGCTTACCAAAAACCACTTACAACCAAGGCTGAAAATGTCAGCAATTACAGAGGGATACAGCAAGACCTGAAGCTATAGCTTTGCAGCTCATGCTAACCCACCAGGGTAGCCTGGCTCTGAGGCTCTATTGCTTTTCCAGCATTTTCCTGTCGCAAGAGGAGCCCAACCACAAACTTTCCTGGTGTATTTGGTAAAGAAACTGTAGTTGTTTTAAACCTAACATCTATCCTGAAGGTAAAATTAGTAACAAGAGTGGTACTTACAACAAAACACTGTCCCACACCCCCCAAATGTTTTAATTCTTTCATGTTGTATGTACAGTAATTCCCTTTAATAGTCACCAGATGGGCTTTATCTGAGACACATAAGCCTGCAGTTGTTGAACACAGAATATTCATTGGGTACTGCTTCAATAAAAGACACAGCTTAGTCTGATATGTTAACATTGCTTATAGTCCAAAAGAGGATATTTTTATAAATTTCCTTAGCAACCCTGCCGGTTTGACCCACTTGACAAATATTTACTCTTTGTAAAAGGTGATAATTTCATACAAAAGAGAGTGTCCCTGGAATGTCAGACTAAAAACACTGTTTGCCACATGATAACAGGATGCACTTGGACAGGCCAGCAATCAGAAAAAAGAAGTGATAAAGACTCCAGCAGTGGGAAGGCTCCCATAGCTGAATTCCAACTGAAATTCCTTCCCAAGGCTCTGAAAAGTTGAGAGACTTTTTCCTGCATCTGCCTTTTCTGCCTTTTCATTAATTGCACAAGTACTCTACACAGATTGCAATAGCAGTGCTCTTCCCAGAATAGTCTATTAATGGGTGTGATAATAAGTGCCCTGTTCTTGCACAAGGACAAAATGTTTTGCTAAGAATTGCTGATGCTGAGTTGCACCCAAAACCCACAAGATGCTTGTGGGATTTGGAAGTGTTCCCTCATATTTTGCTCCTGTTCCTAATGTCTTGCAGGATTGGGCCCACAGGGAATAAACTACAGAGCTCATATTTGCACTTCCTCATGACTAATTCCTATTATTCCAAAGTCTGCTTGATTTTTCCTCAGCATGACTGAGGCAGTACATACAGTCCAGCTCCTGAATGACTCCAGAGCTGCTGTTGCAGTTACTCATGCTGAATTACCACCCATGAATTTTGCAGCTTTGCTGGTGAAAAGAAATACTGCTCAAGCTGAGAACAGAGTGGTGAACTAACTTATTAAAGAGTTTAACTAAGAGGCTGGTTAAATTGATGGGTCTTGGACACACTCAGATTCTGATGAACTCCTAATGACCCAAAGTGAGGACCTTGAGAGCACTTATTCTGAAAAAGTCAGAGATAACAAAAAAATAACAAAGAAGGTAAAGATAACACCCACCCCTTCACATCTTCTGCAGTCACCTGTGGGACAGATCTTGGGGGTGATGGTATCCTCCCATACTCCAAGGGAACTGGCAAAACACCAAGAGAAATCCTGCCTGTCCAGGTGTTTCTAAAAATTCCAAACCACCCTTATGTTCTTCACACCTTGTGAGATTTCCAACCATCTCTGTGGATGGAGAGATAACCCCAAGACCTTTTGAATGCTGGTCTGACACAAATTGCATTGCTGAATATTTGAAAATGAAAATCCACCCATGAAGAAGGGATCTGTGTGTTGCCTTTGATAAGGCAGAATTCACAAACACTGGGTGAGAATCTGCCCCCAGTTTCTATTTCCCTACATGATGCACTCACTCAATGCAAAGGAGCTGAAATGCCCAGACAAGCCCACAGACTTGCTGAAATTCTGGGCTGGCCCTTGGAGAGGTTCCTTTCTGACTCAGAGCCCTATCAAACCAAGTCAAACTTTACGAGTAGTTTCACTGCAACCTGCCTGTGAGCCAGGACTCTACTTCATGCATATTCAAATGACAAAAACAGATCTATAATTAGTACTGGGAAAAAAAATGCTTGGTGCAGGGCAAGCAGGGACAGTGGGGAGAGGAGCACTCTCCTCCCAGCTTGGAAGCCTGCTGCAGGCTCCTTCAAAACCCCTTTCCTTCCGACATTCATGGTGACTCCTGATGAATTTGGAGACCTGGAGGAATCAGATAGTTTCCCAGTCACGTCATGAGCTCCTCTGGGGCAGCCTGCACAGGCGGGGCTCCTGATGGCACCAGAGTTGCCTCTGGATCTGTCACATGTTTGGGTCAGTGGTAAGCTTGGTCCTCCTAAATGCCATTTTCCTTTGACTGACCTTTCATTCTGAGGAATTGTTGGATCGGTCCCTGTCACAGGATCTATCCGCAGACCTTTATGACATTTAGAAATGGGCGCGTTTCTTAGAGCCATTCTGCCTAAAAACATTACTGCAGCTCTTCATTAGCTCCTCCAGCAGCTTTCTTAGGAACAGGAATAAAACACTCCCCTCACTCTTTTTTCCTGCTGTGAATTTTGCACTTCTCAGCAGTGTACAGCTATAGGACAAAGATGATAAGGCCTTGTTCCTGCTGTAAGTATTTCCATTTCATTACCTATCATCTTTGCATTAATAACTTTCTGCTCAAGCAGTACTCTCTGGAATCAGTGTTCGGATGTAAATATCGAGCACCATGGTAATTATTGCAATACTGTAATTTACTACTGTGTTTACAAAGAACCACAATATAATTCAGCACCTTCACATACGACAGAGGCTTCAGATGCCCTGGCAAGCCAATGGTAGCTGGACCTCCTGAAGCTGGGCTACAGCAAGAATAAAATATTGATATCATCGGGATGTCAGTCTCTCTTTCTCATGTACAGGCATTCATTGGGTCTTATTTCACTACATATCTGCAGAGCCCTGCCTTGGGACTGCAACAGTGACGGATGAATGCTTTTCCAGTCCAGACACACTTTGGCACATCTCACCACTCTGCACCATCAGACGCATCAGGGGAGGCAGCAGAGAGGGGAAAGTTTGTTTTGCAAAAAGGCCCTTCTCCAATATCCTCTGGGCAGCGGGTGCTACTGACACAGAGCTGCCTCACACACTATCTAGGCAAATCTGCACTATCTAGGCAAAAATATCTGCCCCATCTAGGCAAAAACACCCTCCCCCTCTGAATCCAGATATTAGGCTGCTCAGCATTACTCAGGTTCTCTTGGAAATTAAAGTCCAAGGTTTCTCTGTAGCAGTTCCATCCCTTACTGCATGATAAAAAGATGTAGTAAAAGCATGCCGAGCCGGCCAATTTCCCGTGTGCAGGATGCTGACAGGAGCTCCCCACCCTCCAGCACTGGTCCCTAACATGCCAGGGGGTGTCCAGGAGAGCAGAGTGCCCAGCCAGCCCTCCCAAGGCGCTGCTTTGGGATTGTCGCTGTGTCTGACCCGCAGGGCTGGGGCACGCGTGCGCTCACAGCTGAGTGCGCGCTGCGGGAGCGGAGCCCAGCACTCGGGCCCTGCAGGCTGGATACACATCTACAGCTGCTCAGCCAGGCAGAACCCCAGGAAAGCACCTGCTGCTTCACCTACAGCTGCCAGGGAGGTAAAAACAGCCTGAACCCCGGCTCTGACTGACTTCGCATCCCTCGCCGCTGCCGGCGTCTGTCCCGGGCTCTAAGGCAGCAGTAAAAGGCAGATGAAATGACTGCTCAAGCCAGAGCCATGATCTCTGCTGTCCTGGACTCAGCTTTGTGTCATGTGTGAGCAGAAATGCTCTAATTGAGTGCAATACCCTGTGCCTGCTCACTATAGCACTGCTCCTGGCTTGTTCGTAGGCAAGGCAACACCCCAGGAGCTGGAGAGCAACACCATAAGGGATCATTCTGAAACCTGAAAACATTTCATTAAACCAGACTGTTAAAATAATGACTTCATATATTTACCAATGCAGAGCTAATGCTAATATGGATCATCTTTCTGGCTAGGGGGAATGAATCCTGTTAACTGCAATGCACCTGCACTCACAGTCAAAGCTCCTGGATCCTTTCAGGGTGGAGCAGCAGAGAGCAAGTGCCCTCTGGTCCTGAGTGTAAATCCTGGAGGGGTCTCTACACTGTGCTCCCCCCAATTTCTTAGCCATTAGCCAGTGATTCTTGGAAACATCCACCTGTTTTAAGTGCTGAGCATCTCCAATTGGTGATGCTTCTGAACACAGCATTTCCCTCCTGCAGTATTTTTCATGGGATATAGGCATGAAAACAAGGCCCTAGGTAGATATTCCATCCAAGACTTTTAGGCATTTCTGTAGTCAGGAAGGGAGAGGGAACTCTTGCAGTTCTCCACCAGGCAAGGACAGCTCTCTATGGCCACAGGGCACTGCTTTTAAGCCCCATCACAGTGGAGAGGGCGCAGCTGGTTCTACAGCCTGTCTGAACAGAAGGAGCTCGCTCAGAAAGTTAAGCCCCACCTCAACACAAGCCCAGTGGGGCAGGTTTTCCTAAGTCCTCCTTGTCCTCAACACAATAATTTGAGAGACTAATTTCTTAGTACTCTGTCTGAGGGAGAAGGGTGGGATTTCACATCTGAGGATGTGACTCAGGAAGCAGTGATGAGAATGCAGCTGCCTTCCCCCGTGCTTCGTTGTTATTCTTTCTCCAAACACAAACTAAATATAACTTTGCCCCATAACATTCAAATAATTTTAGTTACTAGCAGGGATCATGCCTGGAGTTCCAAGGGCCAGGGTGCAATCAGGCTTAAAATATAATTTAAACAATCCAGAACCTACATTTTCCACCAAGGTACTTTCTTGCTTGTAGTTTCCCCATCTGCAAACACATATAAACACAACCAGAAAGAAACCAACAAGCTCAGCCAGATGCCAAGTTTTCTGTTCAAGATCATATAAACTCAGTCAAACATTAACAAGGAAATGCCATGATCACCTCATTTGTTTTAAATATTTCTGCTCA